TTTTCACAGAATAAAATCACAGAATATTTTGAACTGGAAGGGACCCACAAGGATAATCCAGTCCATCTCTCAAGAGAATGGCCCATACAGAATAACCTTGGCATTATTAGCACCACGCTCAAACCAACTGAACTAATCTTTTTGCTATTTTTTGCAAGGTTGAAAGCAAGCACCCAGCTTGCTGTTTAATTCAGAAGGATTCATCTTGTAAAGACAGAATTGGTTTCTGTGTCTCAGCTCTCCATGTTAGTATTTTATTGCCATGAATTATTTGGGATTAGTAATGAAGTGTGGATCACAGGGCCTGGAGTCCTTCGCAGGGGGTGTCTGCTCTGCACTCTGTCATTTGTTTCCCAACAGCATTGTTCTCACTTCATTAGAAAATATTCATTGCTGCTTCTAATTTATACAGAGTCCAAGTAATCTACTGATCATTCCCCCCGTTTTCTGGTAACTGCATCTACATTTGTTGTATAATTTTAGGCAAGTGCAGGACTCACAGTTCTACTGAAGTTAATGTGTATTGTTCTAATGTCCTAGAAAATTCAGATATCAAGCGATACATCAAACACTTAGTTTCCCTCTTTCATTGCCATATCCTGCAATCTCACTCAGTTCTCACCTCATCTTTTCCCACAATAAATTTAATCCTTGACATAAATGACTGTTTTGTTTCAGTTTGGCCCTAAGTTCCTACAACAGTAGTGCTGATGCCAGAGAAGATGCAATGCTCAGGTGCTTCCTCAGCTTATTTGAGGCATCAGTACAGAGAGTTTTACTGCATGACTCATGACTAAAGCTGTGTTGAAGGAAGGAAGGACAGAGGGAGGTCTGTCCAGCACAATTGCAAAGAAAATCTGCAGAATCATCATCAAAACCATCCTGCAAACTTATATTTCTCACTGATCCCATCTGGCCTGATCCGAAGGCCATTGGATTTTGGATTTGGACCAATATGCAGATGCCTTTGTCCAAATCCCATGTAGAATAAAATGTTGGCTCTCTTTATTGGCAGAGGATTTAGCAATAGGAAGAAGTTCAGTCCAAACCCTTTCTCCATGTGTGGCTGTGCCAAGAGATCCTAATTCACAAGGGCTCAATCTAGACCCTACATCCTCCTGCTTCTACTGCAGGATCATCTGGCTTCCCATCAGCACAGCTTTGGTAACTCACACAAGGCACGGAGCAGCTGAAGCAAGATGTTAAAAAGAGGATCCCCTTGCTGCTTTGATAGTCAGTTATTATCTAATCGGTGTGGCAGTACTGGGAAGGTTGTAGGTGGTTCTGTAACCCGTCATGCCAAAACGTGAAGAGCAGATAATTTTTATTTCATTATGCTTTTGTTCTGCACAGTCTTCAATATTGTCAGAGTGTTGTTTGAACTTCAACCAATTAATGAAACATGAACTGCTTATTAGGTGACCCAAAAGGTCTCTCCCCTACGATCTGTGAATACCAAATCAAAATCAACGTGTTGCTGGTAAATGCATATGCATGAAATCTTTCAAGACATCATGGCTAAAATAGCTAATAATAAACCTCACATTGTTATTGAGAAAGCAGAACAGGAAGGGAAAAGGAGCCAACAAAAATAAAACATGCTTCTGCAAAACACTGCCTATGCAAGTTAGCATCAGCTACGTGATCAATAGGTCACCATTAGGTATGGTATTTACATCTGATCTGCATTACTGCACTGCTGTGCTGAAATGGCCAACAAGGCTCATATCAGCTAGCACTTCCTTCATTAAAATCTGCCTTCATTTAAAATTTACCTTGATTTATGAGTTTGCATTCAGTACTGTACATTTGAATGTAACACTGCCAAACTTTCTACAGTTCACCTGCTGGTTGTAGAGCAGAGATATTTCAAGATGAAAACAAACTAAAGTTGGTTGCAGAAGGCTTATTATTATCAAAGAATGGAAAATAATAGACTTGTGCATATGGCCAGCCTTCTGCTACCACCATGTCACTGTGTATTATCATTTTCTGTTACTGAAAAGTAGTTTATACACCCTCTGTTTCCTAAATCCTGGATTTATTAACCCTTTCACACAGACACACACATACAAACATACAATTGTTCTTTTGGTTTCATTAAAAATAGCTGAAGGTAGTTTTCTTGGTATCTGCTGAATAGAAACCTATTTTGGTTTAGAATCTGGAATATCAGGTGTTTCCACTTTCTTTCACACGTACACATTTTCAGTTCAGTTAGGCCAATATCCAAGCTCAGTCCAACCCTCCTTTCAGGAAGGTGAATTTTAGCTTCTCCATCATTTCCATCACTGTGTGGCATCACAATAAAACCAGACATGCTCCTTGAAGGCATGAAAATATCCCTCCTGACCATTAAAAAAATCTGTCAGCTATTCCTAAATATAAACCTGGCTAATAACAAGTTCCATTAATAATTACACAGCACACAGCACACAGAGCCTTTCCTTCTACTTCATTAATGCTATATGCTTCAAGGGAACACTGAGGAGTGGCAGATTTGTAGTATGAAATGAGAAATTTTCAGCCAAGAGCTTAGGAAAAGAGGGGCAAGAGAGAAGGTGCGCAGAAGGAAATACTCAACTGGAATGGAGCAAAGGAGGCTTCACTTGACAAATAGATTTTACCCTTTCTGTAAATCTCTTTGCCTCATTCACCACTCTGAAGTGTACGACTTTGAGTTCTTCTCAGCAAGCAGCCCCTTGCTCCCAAACATTTAGCTTTGGTGTGTCCAATGACTACAGATTTATGCACTTGAACTCTTTCACTTCCTGACATTCTGTAAATAAGCCCCATCTGGTATATCTCTCCTTGTGTCCAAGTCCCTTCTCCCCCCAACATAAGTCATACAGTCTCAGTTAGCTGATGTCTTCCTTTAAATAAACCAGACTTTTCAAAACTTGATCTAATGCCTAAGCTCTTTATGTCCCTCGAAAGAAGACTCTAACAGCTGCTCACTGTTACTATACACTAGATCAAGTATTCAGAGATGGATCTATCAAAGAGGTCAACTCCCTCCTGACACTACATTAACTAATCTGCTGCTATTTTAAACTTTGCTTAGCTTTGTTATTACTTCTACTTCACTGTACCACTTGACATAGACATAGTGCATTTCATAACTCATTTACCCAATTGATCAAGATTGTTCTATGAACAACCTCATCCTTCTAAATTTTAACCATTCTGCCTATTTTAGCATTATCTGATATCATGACAGCACAGTATAAATCATGAAGAAAATATTAAAATTTTTTTCAACCCTCTACCTACGTGCTTTTGGACACAAAAATAAATTTATCTCTTTTCTTTATTGTTTGCTATATAAGAAACAAGGGAATACTCTTGTTCATTTCTTTATTCCTGCAAGTCTTTTTAATCTAGGTATTCCTATTGACTTTGCCACAGCAGCTCCCATAACTGAAAGGATAACTTGGAAGCTTGATGCTTCCACGATCAAGTCCCCGTTCCTTACCTGTCTTAATAATTTATTACTGAACCTGTATATGCAGAGTGTGTAGAATAATACATCCCATGAAACTTTGTTAAAAGTCTCTGAAAATCCTGATATGTCTGCTACTTCCCTCCTATTTAGATCAATATTTATTTAATTTAAAAGAGGAATCCAATTTGCTTGACATGATTTACTTTCCACAAATCTATGCTGACTTGCATTATGATGCTGAACTCTTATTAAACTGTATGCAACTGCAGCCTTAAGCTTGCTAGCAAATGTGTTTTTGAGATTGCATTTAGAGGCAGCAGGATCCTCTGAGAGGCTGCAATGCCCAACAAGGATTCCACCACTTTCTTATTACTGCACTGGTCAGTTATTTTCAAGCTCAAACTGTTTTCCATTAGAACAGCAAAACAACACTGATCCTTCTCAAATTATTTGATACAAGCTCTTATTTCTGATGTGCATTCACACTGCAAATCATGTATCAGGAGTCGTCCTGGGCCCAGCATTACGCAGTTCCTACATAGAAAGAGTCCTCAACATCCAAGGAGTTTAGGCTGTGGCAACGCTCCTACCACTGATCTTATTGTTGGGTCTCAGTGAGAAGCTGGGCCAGACCAGCAGAGGCAGATAATCAAAATGTCAACAGCACGTAGCTGTATGAAGGGACAAGCAGCTGCAGGGCTTCCTTCTGGCTTGTGTTCATGTCCCAAATAATGCTCCACACTGTTCAAGCGACCCTAGGCAGGCTGTTCCTCCTCTGGTGACATGAAGCCCCTCCACCCATACCACTGCTCTCTACTCTGATCCCACGCTTCACCAGGAGACTGATGCTCGAATCCAATGAAGTGCTGCTGTCCCAGGGTATTGTCTGCAGCACCCTGGGTCCTGTCTGCTCTGATAACGGGCAAGGCTCACTTTAACAAGCGACATGCCAACAACACACGCCACTTCAGCACTCATCTCCTAAGGTTTCAGCTCCCTACTCAGCTACCGTCACTGAATTCTACACAGCTGCCTGGGGTAAGTTCTGTCCAGTACTGATAGAGGGGGGCAGAACCCTCTCTGCTTCTCTGCTTTTCTCATTCACTCCAATTTGGCAGTTACCAAAGAATTTCCAAAATCTCATCCTACCAATGCACATTTTCCCAGCTATTTGTGCAATGAAGTTTCCATTTTTATTCTTCCTCCCCTCCATTTCCTCTTACCACGCACTAACAATGCACTGAACTGAGCTCTTACTGATTTTTTTAGAGGACAATTTGTATACATTCAATAGTCAGAATGGGCTGGAGTATCTTGGTATGTACTTGCCAGACTGGCATTCATCAGGACTGTGAAACAGAACAAAATCCCACTGCAGTAATGAGGCTTTTTAACCCCTTTGTGACAGCACAGCTAAATGCCCTTTCAACCCCATGTATAATGCCATCAGCTGGGCACAGAAACACAGACCTACCCAGTTCCAGCCATGACACGAATACAGAATTTATTTAGGCAGTATCAAGCTGTTTGTGGTATTTCTCCTCAAGTACCCTACCTTGAACTCCATAGGGGTGTACTTCTCATTCTTGGGGGTTGTGTTGCCCTTGTAATGGAGATGGTTGGGAGTGGTTGGGTGGATAACAGTGGACTCCTGGGACTGCCTCTGGCAGCGCTGGCAGTACACGTAAATCACAAATGTTAACAGGCTGGAGCCGAAGAAACAGGAGACCCCAGTGGCAATCAGATGGATGAGACTAAAACCTGCAAGGGAAATGACAAGAGATGCTATTTTTACGGAACAGCCCTTTTCCCTCCCCTGACAAGACCACAGGTGCAAATCAGAGCAGTGACATCTCGGGATCAACATTAATAAGCTGTTGAAGCCAGAGTCTTACGTTCTAACATAAACTGACATAATCTCCCTGCAAATCGGTCTCCCCACTGCAGCTCTGCCTTGTGCAGTTTAACAGGTTCATGCATTGTTCTCTCAAAGCTCCCTCCCTGTCTCTCCTCTCTCCCCTCTATTGATATTGAAACTAAACATTATGTTAAGCTGACAGCTAAAGAAATGAGCCATACAAACAATGCACATTAATGGATTCCAAAGCATGTGCGTGTCATGGAAATAAGGGGATAAAAATGCTCAGTGTTTCTCTGAAGGGGAAGGAAGGGAGGGAAAAGCCCTTTTTTGTCAGCTGCCCAAAATGCCTATGGGATTGTGTGTGGGGTGGGGGAGCTACACATTCATCCTCCTTGTAATCCAAGTGTGCTCAGCATTCTTGCTTATTCATGGGATGGCATAGCCTTGGTCATGTCTGCACTGCCTCTGAGGTGTATTTGTACTGCTAACAGTGAAATAGGGCTTCTCTGGAGAAGGGGAAAGATAAAGTGGACAAAGGAAAGGGTAGCAGTGCTTGAAAAACACTTCTTTGTTGGCTTTCTCCGCAAATTGCAGAGATAGGAAATCATTTGCAGGCAGGTGCCGGCGGGGTAGCTACAGTGCAAATACTTCACACAGAAAAGCTCTTGGACTTTAAAAGCCTCCTGCAGAGATCTCTCCATGTGGGATTGCAACAGCACCCTTCAAGGCCAGCACTGACCTCTGGAAGGAGCTGTAGCTGGGCTCACTGGGCACACACACCGGGAAGTACCTAACTCACAGCTCTGACTGGTGAGGAAAGACAAACTGTGCTCCTCATTCCTCCCTCACCTCACTGAGTCCACCACCAGATCTCCACTGACAACAGAACCAACAGTGGCGACTGTTAGAGCCACAAGGTTATCAAAGCAACCAGAGGCATGATGGGATGGCAAAACTTAATGACCCTATTGTATTTTGCTATGTGCAGGGGGGACTATACAGGAAAGAATCAGCTATTTGGCTCCAAATGCTTTTGCCTTTCCTCTGCCTTTGCTCTGCCATCTTTCAAACAGGAATGACAGAGGCCCTAGAGCCTGAGGGGACCCCCTGACTGCTGGCCCCAGGGCAGCTGTCCCAGGGGTCAGTCACATTGCCTCAGCGGCGACTGCAGTGGTAAATTTCCCATAATACTTAAAAAGCCAATTCATTTGGACAGACTGCTGTGTTGACTTGACTGTGTGCAGAGAAATGGGGCTACTCAGAGAGTGGCTTTAAATGAAGCTCATTTTTAGTCTGATCATGGTGTGCAGTTTTTTGGTGCCATCTTACATTTTAAGTGATATGCTTTTCAAATAGCAGATTCTGCCCATTACTCAGTGGCTCTCATCTAATCTTTAGTTAAGAAATATCCTCCTGATTTAAAAAAGAACAAAACCAATAGAGTTCTACAGCAAAGTAGTGCACTTCAATAATAATTACAGTATAGAACTTATAGAATTTATTAGACTGATGAGCTACATTTATTTTTCAAACCACATTATTAAATTCCATTGCAAGATTACCATTTTCTATTGTTTTGGATGATGGTCCAAAAAACCCAGCAGAAATATTATATTTTCCTACTAAATGTCACAAGACTTTTTCAAAAATAAATTTCCTTTCTAAAAACCTTTGTCTGTTTTGCGTCACTCATGAGACCTAAAACATAGAATATGCAACTGTGTTCAGTAAAGCCACATGACACGCTGCCACATTCTCCTCCTGCCCAGCTTTGCTTATATTGCAGTGAATGTTTCATTTCACTGCCACATTTGCAAGTCACAACATAAAGCTATCTTCTATTTCACTCTCATCTTTGAAACACTCATCTCATTTTTCAAATGAATTTTGGCTGTATCTTAGGGGAAAAAAAATAATATTATTTTGTTTGCAGCATGTGAGTCCCCGGGGGGAAGCTTTCTGGTTCATCACTTTGAAAATATAGATTTTCTGAGATGCATCAACAGAATTTCTATTGATTGGCTTCTCTGCCAAATATCGTAGAACACTACATTAATAAATAATATTAGCTATGGCAAAATGTAGATAGCAACAGAAAATAATAGTGGTGGTGGAAAAAGAAGAAAATGTGGGTACAGTGCATAACAGCAGAGTACAAGCTATAGCAAGGGGTCCTGAAATCAAAGCAGAACCATTGCACCCTCTGAGGGAGGAGTGACGCAGGAAGCCAAATGTTACATTGCAGGGACTGAAATCTTAATTCCATTGATTGCCCTCAGCTGCAAACTGAGAAGCCACATTTCCATGCCACAGGTGGCATGCCTGTTTTTGCCATGATCTCTACAGGGAGAAGAGATTTTGGCAGCCTGAAGATCATCTAGATTTCAGGAAATCAGGGATGTGACGCTAGCAGGAATTGGCATGGCCATTAGTGTGAAACTAGCATTTTAAAACATTAAAGGAACCTGCCATTTTCTTCAGTCTGCATTTTTAGCATAGAGGCTCCCAGGGCAGTGGAAAAGTGACACTAATGACTGGATCTTTCCAAGTTACATGCAGTTTCTGTGAGAGAGGAGAACTTGAATGAAAGGAAGTGCTTGGAGGACAAGTATAAACCTTTAATCTCATCCTATATCAGCAAAGGATCTCTCTAAGAGACCCTGTTCACTGAAATCTTTATAGTTTATTTAAAAACACCTGTCTCCAAACAGCTGGAGGCTTACAGTGGTCAATGGGGAATAACCCTTTCTTCCACCTGAACCATATACCCTGGAGGTAGAGAGACACAAGCAATTGCTCTCTGGTAATTAATGACCCTCAGTGGCCAATCCAAATGTCCAAATAAATAAAAATCTTGGAACTGACAAGTGGACATGCGATACATTCCTCTAGTCTGACTCAGACAGCAAGACTCCAGTGGAATTAAGGCTATCAGTGGGATATGAGCTGTATAGATTAATGGCTTGCTTGATACTACACAGGGAGAAAAGAAGTCAGATTAAGATAAAAATAAGATATATAGTAAGTGGTAACCTACCTCCACAGTTCGTGCTCTCATCGATGCTGGAGGCTGGAAGGATCACTAAACAAAGAAAAGAAGATTGGAGAAAGCTGTCATTCTGCCACCCCTTGACTTCTTCAAGTAATTAAACCATCTGTGCTCCACACACGAGAAGGTGCTCGTATGTTCTGCAGCAAGCTGAGAATCTCACAAAATTGAATTATAAGCTCATGGTTTGAAACACATGCAATGAAACCTCTCCAAAGATCTTATAATTCCAGTACTGATACCTGATCACTCTTTAGCTTCTTCCATTTAGGAAAAATATGGTAGCTGAGAAAACCATGAAAAAGAAGACCATTGCCTAGAGATCTCAGATTTTTCAGTCAGTGCACTGTAATCCAAAAAACAGCATGTGGAAAGGCATTATTCAGTCTATACCCATATCAGATATTTGCCTGAGAGATTCAATTTCCAGAAATTCCACAGGGTGGAATATGCTGATGACCATCTGTCCATCAACAGTGCTGCTCTGTTAGACCCCGGATTAATCTCCCACCTTCACACCCCAGTTTTCTGCATCTGCCTCACCTTAATTCTTTGCTCTTTTGGGATGCTGTTTGGATACCTGAAATCAACAACCTTCTGTTGCCCATATGCATACCGAGAACAGAGACAATTGTTATAGCCCAGCCTAAGACAAGCTATACAAGTTTAAAAGCTTCAATTCAGGTGAAGCAATACCAGTTATTTGTTACGGATCAAGGTAATTCTGTTTAAAAGAAATGCTAAGCTGCTTAAGGGAAAGCCATTTACCCTGTGCCTGCCACAAGGGAATTTATAATGTTTGTCTATTTCCTTGTTTTTCTAGAAGCATCCAAGCCCAATTTATAATAGAGAAAATCTCAGCCTAGTTTGATAATCCAGGCACAAGCTGCTCTCCCGAACTGGCCCACCCTGTCCTCCTGGATGACACAGTACATACCAGGAATTTCATTGTACAGGCAGTCCTGGTACTGAGTGCTGTTTCCGACGCACTGGGAAGAGTCTGGGCTGTGCACCTCGCAGTAGCGGCTGCGGTACTGGATGCCCTCTTCATTGCACAGGCTCCACTCTGACCACTCTGACCAGCCACCTGAAATCCAGGGTCAGGAAAACACACACATGGCATTACCAAGAAGGAAAAGGCTGCTTTGTACATACCAGATTTCTCCCATGCTGAAGGATCCTAGATCCTGGCCTGGGCCTCTCTCACACATCTATTCTATGGGTCCTTAGTAGATTTAATTTTCTCAGTTCAAGCATTATACCCTGCTTGTCAGGTTGTAGTTCTCTTAATATGGACTAAACCAACCCTTGGTGGACACTGCACAGAACAAAATTGTCTTAAAAGCTCCTATATCAGCTCTCTGGTTAAAGACCTACAAGGAGCAAGGTGGGGCTAAGTTGCACCAGGACCTCCAAGCTCTTGATCTGGCCTCCCAGGGATACCTCAAGCAGCCAGCACAAATCAGAGCATGCACAGAGTTTTGCTGAGGTTCGTAAGGGCAGGAGTCACCCTGCACTGGATCAGAAATAAACAAAGGCAGTTCAAAACCAGCACAGATCTAAACCCCATCCCCTGAGCTGTAGCACATGCTGATCTGTTTTCTGTAAACAAAAAGGAAGGACTGTCCCTTCAGCAACTATACAGTTTGCTGCCTCATGATTCCTTTTGTTTGTCAGGTCAACTTCCACATTGAAGAATTGAACTCCTGTTTTTTCAGTTACTTGAAAGGGATCAACCATTAGCAAAATTTTGCTTGACCAGCACCAGAATGCCAGAGCAAGGGCCAGTGAACAGGCAAAGAGAAAGAACTCTGCACTGCAGTTAACGCTGGGATGTCTCTTTATCCCTTGGCTCAATAGACATTGAATAAATGACCAAAAAACTTTAAACTGGTGGTGTTTCTGATTTGTTTTTTAAACATTTTGCAGCTGCGCCTTGCTCCCAGCAGCATGGAAGCCAGCTGGAGCGGGGATGAGAAGCGGCTACCTTGGCAGGGGTGTGTGTTGCAGAGGGCCTCCTCGGTGTGCAGCCCGATGCAGATGTCCTCCCCGCTGGACGGAGCCGGGTTGGTGCAGGTCCGTGTGCGCTGATAGTGCCCACCCCCACAGGTGGCTGAGCAGTGAGACCAGGGAGTCCAGCAAGACCACGAGCCTTTCACTGGAGGACATTGAAAAGCAAGCACAGACAGGTAGAGGCCATTGGTTACTCCTCTCACTGTGACAAAGTTGGAGAGCCCCAGTGTCTCACCTTGAACATCCACCCTGCTCACACTAGCAAGCAGTTTCCTGCACCCCAGGACATTTGGGCCTGACAACAAGAACTTCACGTCAGGAGAGTGTACAAATCTACTTCACTCTATGGATGCAGAATGAAATCTATGCAGAAGAAGACTGCATCATAAAGTGCCAAAACCAGAAACTATTCTTTGTTGTAATCATTAATGTTCACTAAAATATTCTACTCCATTCTATTCCTTTACTTTTTATAAAACAGCATTGCTGCTATTATTTTTACTATTATTATTATTATTATTATTACTAATACTACTACAACGATTACTATGTTGTTTCCTGAAACTTCATAGCAACAGCAGATTTACTTGGGAAAAAAGTGCTGTAGCACCGAAGTGGAACCTACATGGCACCTTTCTGTGGAAGGCCCAAGTCCTCTAGTTCCAGTGTTCAGGAAACAGAAACTCAGAGACTTTATTTATTGACCCTGCTCATTTCAGGGACATTGGGCTAGGTGACCTTTAAAGGTCCCTTCCAACCAAAACCACTCTATGATCTAAAGCATAACCCTGTAAGAGGTTAATAATAAAACTAGGGAGGGACTTAAGATCCCTGAATCCCCCACCCCCACCCCTTAAACTGCCTGGTTTGCAGGTCCACATGCCATTAATTCAAAAGATAATAACCTGATGACTTAGAGCAAAATAAACCCAGGATTTGTGTATACACATTGAGTGAGGCAGGGAAGGAGGGAGACACAGAGAAATAGTAATCATGCACTCAGAACAGATTGTAAAACATCAGAGTGTCTGAGGGAAGAAAACAGCACAGAAAAAGGGCACAGACATTAGTGAAAAGCCACTGAGAGCTTCCAAAATAGTACTAATAGCTGCCTTTATAGTGCTAGAGTTATTTCCTTTTTATAGGCCATAGAGTGCAATATTTGACACTCCTGCTATGCTCTTGCTGCACATTCTGATCATATCTGCATTTGAATTTTATCTTTGTACTGAGTTTTGGAATCGTAATAGTACTACTATAATAGAGCATTTTCAAGTATAGCCCACAAACTGTATTGCCAGAGGTAGACAATTGCTGGAGCTGCAAAAAGGCAAGGTAATTTGTGTAAGATCACTTAAATTTACTTTAGCCAGTTATTACAGAGCAAGGAGAAAGATAAGTGAGAGAGAATACAGTAGTCAATGGTCTATTACTACTATTCTGGACCAGGGGTGCAACATAAACATGAGGACAAACTTGAAAACCAGGAAACCAGGCAAGAATACTCCCTGCTGGCTGTGCAGGAAATGGTAACTGATGTCAAGAGTAGATGCCCATCGCAAGAACAATACGTAAGCAGGAGAGGGGGAAGAAACAAGTGTTCACAAGAAGAACCGCCACATCAAGCATCTCTATACAGTTTTAAGCCACATTTATTAAGCCTGCCTCCTCATCACGGAGCACATGCACCATGATGCCCTCCACTGGATGGAGCATCAAACCTTCCTGAAGCAAAGGATTGCTACAAGCCACCATACTACTTCCTCTAGAGGATGTGGCTGTATTACCCTCTGAGCCAAGGTGAAACCTAAGTCAGCACTACAGATAACATATGTGGGTCATTACAATAGCTTCAAAAAACATAATGAAAAATCCCCCAAATTTAAAAATAAAAAAAAAAATGGCTGCTTAGAAATACTGATTTTGTGGTTGTTGCTGTTGTTGTTGCTCTACCATTAAGATTTGGGAAAACACCTCTGAATTAAAACACTTCTGAATTTTATGCAGGAAGATGATCATGGTTACCTGGGCAGGGGTGAGGATTGCAGTCTTGGTACTCCATCGCTGACCCCACACAGGGCAAGCCACCATTTTTAGGTTCAGGGTTTGTGCATGTTCTCTTCCTGATCCTAAAGCCCAGTTCACAGTCCCTGGAGCAGGAAGACCAGGCCCCCCAAAAGGACCAGCCCCCATTGATAATCCGTGCAGAGGTCTTACCGGTCTTGAGGAGGTCATCAACAAGAGCTTCAAGGAAAACAAACAAGACACCATAAGATCACAAGCTAATCATTTGTTGGGCTTTTAAAAAGGGGTTCAGCTCATGAATAAAATCAGGATCTGTATGCCCTGTAGAATAGTTCCTGTTGAAAGTCCTTGGCAAGAGTTTTTTTCCCCCAAAGGTACAGCTAAGCTCGACAGAAAAATAAATTTGTATCCATACAATTGAGTCTGCTGGTAACCTTGATAAATGACCTCCCTGGGCAGCAAATTGTGGCAGTCCAGGCTGTGCCCTCAAGATGCTGCCTTGCATCACAGCAGTCCTGCATGGAACAATCTGAGAGACAGTGCACAAGGAGAGCTCCAGGGAAAAAGAAAAGACACACTGTCCTTAGAACAGCTCTTCTTTACACCCTCATTACTCGCCTGTTGTCTTTAGGGCAGCCTAGCAGGAGCAAGACCAAATCTATACACTGCCATAAGCAAAGAACTCATGACTCTATATATGTGTCACAGGGCTCTCCCCATCCCTGCCACTCTGCAGTGACACCAGTCGTACATGTTGACACTACTGAAGACACAGTCAAGGGTTTCTTGTTCCAAGAGCATCCCCCTTGCACCACCACACCTAGGCCTGCCCCATGGTCCCTCAGAGCTGGCAGGACGTACAGTCAGTGTCACACACTGCGGAGCCATCGTTGGGGCAGAACCGACTCTCAGTTTTCTTCCTCCCAAACTGCAGCTCGTGGGGGTCTGGCAGCTGGGCCCGGCACGTGTAGCGGAAGCGCTGCTCCTGGCGGGCACCATTCTGGGTGATGTTCACAGGCATCCATGGGGTCCAGGGTGTGTTCCTGCGCACCTCTGGGCAGCTCTCCGGGTTGCAGGTCTTATATTCCTGGCAAGAAGGAAAACCACTCCCTCCTTACTCATTAAACAGCAGCAGCCTATCTGGCAGAGGCTTATTTACACTTCAGAAAATACGGGTGTTCTCTCTGGATCTCAAACAATCCCCACCCACCTTATCTGACCTCACAGGAACAAGTCAATGCTGGGCATGGCAAAAAATGTGAGTGTGGAGGCAGCGGTGGTGCATAGGTGGACCTCAAGGGTAAACTGTGCTTGCTTTTTTTATGTCTCCCTTAGGTTTGTGTTTCTTTGCTGACTCAAAGTCCTGTGGGGCTTCGACGTCTTGGTTCATTATGGGCAGGAAAATAATTCAGGCAATAGACAGTAATAACAGCAAACAAATTTTCTGCTCTGACCCTGAGATGCTGTTTTCAGGTCAGCCTAGAGGAGCCTCAAGAGGACAAAATATCAGTAAGGTTAATTCCTTGAAAGTTTATAATTTTATTTTTAATATGGGTTTAGAGTAGAATCTTCTTACAATTATTTTTGTTTGGTTGGCCTTTCAAACTCTCTAATTAAGGTTATGAATCATTTGTCATCTTTGGTCTAGAGCAGCCATCGAACACAGATAACATTCTGGCTGGCTGGGAATGGGGGGATTTGAGGGTTTTGCAATTCTCATCACTAATGGGAGGAATTCCAATGACAAACATTTGTGTTCTTGATTTAAAATAACTAAATAAACAACTCCTTTATGGCAGAGGGGAAGAAACGTAATGCTTCAGGACTTCATGAATCTAGTGTAAATGCCAAACAGCTTGTGAAGAAATGGGAGGTTCCAGACCAAGTCTGCTCACACTGAAATGAAACCCCACAAAACCAATTAAGACAGTTGCATGAAACCGCTGCTGGAACAGAAAAGGGAAAGTAAAGAGGGCAAATGGGGTGTTGGACCTGTTGTTTACCTGTTACATGTTACCTGTTACAGGTATGACAGTGCAATACATTTCCTCTGTACACCAGTCTGCTAGCCTAAATCTGCCCTAAATCTGTCCCCTCTGTTTCCAAGTTCATTTCAGCATCGTCTGCAGCAAAAACTGAGGACAGCATTTTCTTCTTGCTTGAGAAATAAAACCACAATGGAGAGAGAAGCTAAATACCCCATTCCTCGATGCTACTGTCAATAGGTGCCCCTCATGCAGTATCAGTGAATAATACATACCACAGCACAGCCTGGACATGTGTTTCCATTTTCACAGGACCTCTGTCTTGAATGAATCCCTCCACCACAATTCACGCTACATTTATTCCAAGGTCCCCATGAAGACCAAAAAATCGGTAATGGACATGGACTGTTTTCATTACAGAATCTGAAAAAAGAGAATGCGTTGCTCAAAAAACTCCATGTCAGCACATCCGAGGGACGAAATGGTGTGAGATGCAAGACTGCACAGTGCATTTGGGTGCAACTGATGCATGCACAGAGAGCCAGCAGAGGCTGACGCAATGTCAGATTAGCAATATTCCTGCACATGGAGAGAAATGTAGCCTTTGTACCAAATGGGAGTGGTTAATCAGGCTGAGCTCAGTGAGGGTGAGATGGTTAGAATAAAATGGTCGAGATAAGTTTTCTTAAGGGCTCTTCTCAAAACTTTTCTACAAACACTGAGTCCACAAAAGAGCCCACAAACTGAAGCGGAAATGTCACAAAGAGAAAGTGGATAGTAAATATTCTGAATGGGCTGAATGGTGAGAGTGATCTGTCACAAGTGGCAGATGCTAAACACCTGACAATCTTCTCTTCACAAAATCTGGCTTTTACTGCTGCCTTGACCCTAACAAGCTAGAGTTTGCAACTGGATCCCATATGCATCTAAAAGCAGGCCCTAAGTGAATGCTATTTCATGTTTTGTGTCAAAAGTAACTGTAATTTTGTTCAGCTTTTTAATCAATATTGTTCTCAAATTTAATCAGACAGAAGTGCAACTGACTCAGAGGTAATCTTTAAACCCAAAAAGGACCATTGTGAATGGACACAAATCAAACCAAACATTAAAATGTCTTGAAACATGGAAGTTAAATGAATTTCTCTTTTTATTCTGAGAAATGCAGAGACATTCGTCTTAGTGACCACTCAAGGGGCAAGCAACAGCCTATTGCCAAGTAGAAGTGGCCTTTAATGAAATGTCAGGCCTGGAAAGAAGTTGGGATGCCTTGAAGCATGTATTTCATAAGGGGCCAAGCTTGAAGAAATGTTATAGTGCAGAAGGCTCTGTAGGTTCAGAAAATATAGGGTTTTAGTAATTTTGTGTGAATTTTTCATAGTTTAGAGAGGAAAAAAAGATGTTTTTTCTGATACCATGCCCTGCAAACATTCAAGCCTGAATCTGTGAGTTTTGCCTTGAACTGCTTTAGGAGCATCAGCACAAGTAATAGAGACTTGGGAATGGTGCAACTGGCAGTGAAAGCTGCACATACTCAGCTGCCCCTGCAGGGACAGATCAGAATGGAGAGCCTGTGTCTATAAACTCTACAGTGCCAACAGCAGGTGCAGTTTCTCCCTTCAGGGAGGAGGTCAGCCCTCTGTCTGGGACAGGAGTACTTGCAAAGGTCTGAAGGCTCTTGCTTGGGTATGAGGGCAGCTCTGAAGTGTCTGATGTTCACAGGCTCACTGAAAGAGAGTGTCCATGCACATAAACAGCCGCATCCCTCCCAGGCTCTGGGGCTGCTTCCGCTCTGTGCATTGAGCCCAACAGCCTCAATCTGCCTTCCCAGCCACCACTTCCAGCTGCCAACACTACAGCCACAGAAATGAACACACACCACCATGGACAACCCTTACCTTTCCTCCCTGCTCTGTCCAACACAGACTCTGCCCCCGTACCGTGGTGCGGGATTGCTGCAGGATCGCTGCCGGACCTGGAAGCCGATCCCACAGGAGGTGCTGCATGGGGCCCAGGAAGACCACGGTGTCCAAGCGCCATTTCTAGCAAAAAGGGTGGGAGAGAACAGAGTATGGGAGAAGTGTTGAACTCATGGGAGAATTGATTTTCCATTTCAACCAGACTTTGTATCAGGGTTTTTTTTAAAAGGCAGTTTCAAAAGTGCTTAGCAGTAGCCTAATTTTCCTCCCTTTGAAGTCTCTTAAGAATTGCAAGGAAGACAACTAAGCCAATGCTGAATGATTCTGAAAATGTCTCCTAGGATTTTACTGGGCAATAGTGTAGTTAGTGTAATTTTCATTGACTATTCCCTCATCATCTTCCCCACATATCATAACCCTGCTCTTCTGACACAATGGCTGATCCCAAAGTTCTATGTCCTGAACTCTTCTGCACAAAGAGCTCAGGTTTTGAGGATCATGAATGCCAGTTGTGCTGAAGGATGTAAAAAACCTACCCTCTGCTAATTCAGAAGGTACTGATGCTTTAAATCTTTTACAGCAACATCATTGCCAGCTCCCATGTTTTTATCACAAACCTCATAATATTTTGTGTTTTCCTAAAGCCTTCAGCATTGAATCCTATTAAGTGGAAATCTCAAATTTCATTACAAATAACAATAATTGCTTCTAGCTTTCATGGCTGCCTGCAGACGTCACTGTAGTGTGACCTTAAATCTGTAGAAACCAGAGGCAATTAAGAGCTCCGAGGCAGGATCGAGTTTCATGGTTTAATGAGTGATCACATCTCTGCTGAACAGTGGTAACACAGCCTGAAGCCAGCTTGATGTAAAACCCCCTAGTTCACACCTCAGCGCTGGGGACATTGGCAAAGCTCCTGTGAGAGGCTGAGCACAGCACGTGCAGGTGCCTCAAACATGTGCTTACACAGAAGCCAACATTTTCATCTTTAAAATCTTGCATCTATTAAAGCTCACCTTCCTCTGATTTGGCAGCACTGGACCTTGAAGCAGGAGAGGAGGAACCATATCTCATCTATTCTGTGCTGCAGGTTTCATTTCATATGTAGCCAGTGGTAATGCTCTGTCTTATAAAACTGCCTAATCTTGACACTTCAGTGCCTTAAGCCAAAAAATATCTTTCTGGGGTGTGTTTTTTAATAAAGAAAAACCTTTCTAAACAGTCTAGTCAAAAAACCAACTCAGGTGCTCTCTGACTCTTGAAAGCTAAGCTTGAAAACAGATGTTAATTTTCAAAGCATTTACTGAACTAATAACACTGCTGGCAAGAAATATTTTCTGGCATAGCACCAATCAGGGCAGAGGATGAAAGTTAAAACCCACATTGCCCTTCACAGTTTTTGTATTTTTTATCAACTCTTGCCTGTTCTTGCCAGCTTTATTTCAGAATCCTGATAGATCTTACCTCCCTCCTCTTCTTGTTCTCTCATCCCTCTCCCTCTCTCCCTTTCCCTCTCCCACCCCAAAGTCAAAGAACAAGAAATCCACTCATACAAAAATCCTACTATTCCATATTATTCTCCTATGTTTTAAAACACCTAACATCTCCCCACTCTTTAACCCCAAAGAATGATTATATGTAAAATAATGAAAAGAAAAAAAATCAAATGGAAGGTTGCTCTTACAGCTGCAAAAAGGGCAAGTAATTTATACTGAATTTCTACTGAAGAAATCCTGAAAACCCCAACAATTCTCAACATCTATTTGTTTCAGGATTCTTAACAGAAATAAATACACCTTCCACTTTCAGAACTCCAGCTTTTTAATAGAACTCATCTTTAAACATCCTACTCCCTCTTTGCAGAAAGAAATCTCAATGCCATATGAAGTCAATTAAAGGAAATTTGAGGGCTGAAGCGGATGTAGGATGACCAGATGTCCCTATTTTTCAAACCATGCTGTTTTCGTATGTCTTAAGATTGAATAATCTGTTTTTCATCCCGTTCTTAGAAGCTGTTCCTGCCTCTTCTGCCATCAGAGCAGTGCTGAGAAATCCATCCCACTGGCATGTTTTCCATTTTCCACTGACAGAAAAAGCCTGCCTGGGGAAAGCTTTGCTCAGCCCATGGTGGCAGCACAGGGGCAGGAATGTCTGCACACCTTTTGGGCAACACAGCCAATAACTGGAAGGAGAGATGCCAATTAAAACATGAGTATTGCTGAACTTTTGGTGCCAAGTCCAGCACTGATCTCCAGGGATGAGTCAAGAGGCAGCTGTCTTTGATGGAATGAATGTTTATGAAGATAAAGTAGATAAAAACTGTATTGACCCAATATTTACCAAAATCCTGGCTGCCCCCACCCTGATTAAATAGTGCTTACACTACTGCATCATCTTCCCTTGAGTCATGACATGAGGTAGTCTGAGGGTGGTGGGATGCCACAGACACAAACATGGCTAGGTTTGGGCATCCCACAGGAGGACATTCAGCTTCCATACGGCCAAAGCTGAGCTTCAGGGTCCCATGGGCAGGCAGCACTTCAGCACGAGCTGAGCTGCCTGTGCTGTTCCACCGCTGTCCCAGCAGCCGCCTCCTGCACCCGCTGGCTGCCAGAGGATGACGTGCTGCTCTCACCTGCCCAGCAGACAGGCTGTGCTGCAGACAGGTCACAGACTCGCAGAACAAGGCAAACAAGCCTTGCCTGGAGCTAGGCTCAGCCCTGTCCTTACAAGTGTTGTTCTGAAGTAGCTCTCCTTGGTTTTGGCAATGTGGCCTTGGAACCCAAACTCTGAAAAATTATGAACTTATTGCTTTCTCTAGTCTGCTGCTCATCTGGCTGACAACTACCTCTGCCTTACCTTTTCCTTTTGGGTCACTACTCATTGTACAGCTGAGGGAAACCAAGGCACAGTGTAGTGTACAGGAATTTGGGGTGCTCATCTTCCAAGAGCCTTGGCTGAGGGCCCTTCACTCACAGCCCTTGGGTTTCTTCATTTTACACTGACTGGTCCTCACATACCTGGGATACAATGATGTGCTCACAAGGAAGGATCTAAGCTGTGGACAGACACAAATCTTGTTCCCTTAAGAAGCACAAAGATGTGGGGGTACCTTGAACAGTTTGCAACCTCAATCCTGGCCCCTTCACAGCTGCGACCTCCACAGCGAGGACGAGGACTATCACATGAACGTGACCTACACATACAGGAGCCTGTGCTGTCCCCATCTGAATGCTCACACAGTTGCCATGGGGACCAAGGCCCCAGTCTTCCATTTGTTGTCAGATTTTTCACCTAATTTTAAGAGGAAAAAAAAAGTCATTAATAGTTAGTTTACATTTCTGGAGACAGGCCCACAATAGAAATGCCAAACAAAGCTGCCAGGGGGATTAGGATGCATCTTAGATGGGAGCTGCCTGTGCTTGTGAGCAGGATTCAAAACACAGGGTTGTTTTCAGACAATGCCACATCAATATTTACCCTCCAAATTCCACGCCACATACCTAACATGTGCACACAGGCACTGAGCCGACCCAGCCAGCACCACACCATGAGCAAGCATCCACCTGCCACACCACACAACCACCACACTCCCTGTTCCACACTGCACAGCTTCAGCCTTTCAAGCAACACCATAGCCAGTACTGATTGACCCCACTCCATCATATTCCAGCCTCTGCAGGGCTTCCTGCAGAGTGTTTTCCAAGTTAATGTTCATATAACCATGGTGACCAGCTGACACTGGGGCCTCACTGAATTTGGCCCTGTCCGAACCTGCAGTAAGAACTGTCTCCCTTTCTAAACTGAGCTGTAGCCTAAATGGCCATGTGAATGAAGAACAAAAAGCGAAGATGATAGTGACTAACATTAATGTTGAGGATCACATAGCCACCTAAAGTGCAAGAATTCATCTTAAGATGATTTATAGACCAGACCGCACTGCTATCTGTTCCCTCTGCCCTTTGCTTTATACCTGCACAGCCCTCAACAGGCTGGGACTTGACAGCTTCCTGCACACTGCAATGAAGGAAAAATACAGTAGTCCTGGCAGACCAAGAGCATGAGAAACAGAACTATTTCAGGGCTGGTGACAACTCTCCAGTAGACAGGGTGTCAGAGCTTGCTCTCCTGTGTCCTGTTTTAACCAGTGCTTCTAGGGGAGCCTAAAGCTGCAGGCTGGGGGACAAGGTTGCTTGGGCCCTTGCTCCCAAGGCTTTCTAGAGAGGATTTGTGCTACCTGCTTCTCCTGGAATCACTCCTTGCTACTGCTGCTTTCTTTTGCCCACTCCACCAGTACTGCAAAATCCTGCAGCCCAAGACCATGTCTTGAAAGTTTCCCTGAACACCTCTGTCCTGGCATCTCCTCTGTTACTGACTTGAGAAACATGACACAGAAAGGGATTGGTGCTGGTCCTGCCTGTGTGCAGCTACTCCCTTGTAACAACACAGCACTATGATGCACTTCTGCCCTGGTGGCTGCCTCCAGGCTCCCCACATCTCCCCACCCCATGCCCCAAAGTGCCAGGCCTTGCAAGCAGATGGCACAGATGGTGGCTGCCTGCAAGTGGCTCATGCCCATGGGGGATCCGTGTGGTGCTGGGTGCTCAGCAGCTTTGGTAAAGCTGCTGGCAAAGGCAACACTGGATTTGGCCTCAGTGCTGCACGCAATGGAGGGTGAAAGAAGGAAGAGGCTGGGCCCCTGGCAAGCAGCCCTGGCCCCAAATCTGAGCCAGCTACCCTGACAAACCCCACTGTGCCATGCTTCACTGAGCTCTGCTGCCAGCATGATCAGCCTCCTGGGCTGCCCCAGAGGGGGAATGATTGTTCCTGCCTTACAGACAAGTAAACCAAGGCACAGAGGGGCTGTGAGCCTGCTCAGGAGTCATGCAGGGATCCAATCACAGCCATGGGAAGAGTGCTTTCCAGCACTCATCCTCTGAAACATGCTGCTCTGTGCTTATTCTCCAAGATTGGCACTGTGCTAAACACTCAGAATGTACCTCTGGTGGCTTGTCATCTTCCCCTCTCACCCATCTACAGCAGCATCAAAAATATGCAGCAGTGGCATGGAAGCAATTTAGATCTGATATTGCACTCATCAGGCTGCAGCTGGGGGTTTCAGGCATCTGCTGTAAGCCTTTGTTTGTAATAGATTATCATGTAGTTGTAAAAATTTGCTCTGGGCTGCAGGTTACAAGGCAAGATGCCCACAGAGGAGATGACTGAGCTTTGTTGTCGTTGAATTTGCTCTTTTAAACATTGTTTAAAATCAATAGAGTTGGGTTTCTGGAAGTTGGAGGGAGAGAGTCAAAATAAGTACTTTGAGATATTTAATACTAGATTTTTATCTCCTTTTTTTCCTCCTGCCTTACAAAAGTCATACTTCAAGCACTGGATCATTTCTATTAATTTTTGAGCCAGAAAGCCTTGCTGATTCCAGCAGGGAGTTCTTTTCAGAAATCAATGGTATGATATGGCCTGTGGCATCAATTTAAAAAAAAAAAGCTAACAAATAATTATTGGCTCTCAAGTGATACTGGGAAACAACCCAAAAATTAAACAAATAAGCAACCATAATCAAAATGCTGAGATTTATAAACATGTCACACTGTGAGTGTGGGAAGTTTTTATACTTAAGAAATTACATATGGATTATTATTCCATCTTTAAATTCACAAAAATATCTTCAAAAGAGCAAACTTGGGAAGTGGGATAAAAACCCATATGCACTGATCTTTTTCAGGAATACCTTTACAAGGCAAATCCTTTGAAGCCTACACAGTGCCCATCAGACAAAGAGGACATCTTTAAAAACACATCTGATCAAATGCCCTTCTCTCACCTGACAATATTGCCAATTCTGGAATTCTTGTCTTTTATAAACTGTCATACTCACACCAAAGGCCTCATCTTTTTATTTCTTCCTTGTAGAGTCTAAAAGCTCAAGTGCAGGATCTAAAAACTGAGACTGACTACTCCTAATCCCTGCTACCAGGATATTTTCCATGTTTATTCTGATATTACCGGTACAACTAGAAGCATTCCTTATTCTTTCAATTAATCTATTCTTTATCTTAGGATTCAGATAATAACTGCTTATCATTTTGCCAAGTTTTAATTACTTAATCTGGAAATTTCCATATTAGCTGTTTGATGAAAGCTGAAAATTCTTGCAAAGTTTCAGTCAAACTGCTTAAACCATTTATAAAATCAGATCTAGAGGAAAAAGCTCTCTATAAGTAGCAATATTTTCCTTGAAACAAACTAGTGTTCAGAGCAAGGAATTGAACCTTATGTCCTTGTAACACCTTTTTGCAATTCCCATGAAAAGCCTTTCAAAACTGTCCAGGGTATAAAATCCTTGGGACATGGGAAAAAATTCAGTTTTCAGAGAGTCATAGATTTTAATCCCAGCACCCAAAGACTTTTCTGTGCACTGGAGATGCTTCAGTGTGGGGCAGCGCAGGATCACCCTGGGCAGTGCAGCTTTGAGCAGCTAAGTCCACATGAACTGACAACAGGGTACAAGACACCCAAAAACAGGGTGCCATTGATTAGCAAGAAAACGAGGTAACATGGAACAGATGCAATATGACTAAGATAAGGGTTTGCTGGAAACACGCAGTGGGACTGGGCTGAAAACCTGGAAGGAAGATCATTGTTTGGCTCAGGATAAGGAGGATGGTACACTTTACTGGGAATACTCTATTCCTGGCTTGCCAACCCCCCTCAACAGTGACACCATGAGTTTGGCTAATAGGTTATTAGCTAAAGCTGAAGTTCCTTTCCTGCTGGTGGCTCATGTTGGCATCAGTAAGATATCACAAAATAGGATGTGTCTGTTTTTCTAAAATCAAAGTGTACCTCTCTCTCTTCTCCCAAGCCTCACTCCCTTCTCCCAGTAAAGCACATACAGTCCTGTATCAAAACTCCCTGATAAAGCATGGGCACATACATGGAAGAGCAGTTTAGTTTGTGGAATTTGTGTGCTACCATTTCTTAACGTTAAAATGGTTGAAACTGCAGCCTCAGTAACGAACCCATAGGAGATTCTGGATGTTATATAGTAATAACACGTAGCAACCATTACCCAATATATTATGTTAAGACTGCATGATTAAGCCTCTATCTAAAGTCCCTTAATATTAAAGCTGGAGAATGGGAATCTGTGGCACAATGTAGTGATGTACAAAGATGCTCAGACTAGCTCTGAACAAGCCTGTTTGCACAAGAGCAGCAGTCAAGTTGTGTTAGTGTTGTGGTTGACTCACACAAATGCCTGGCCCATGTAGGATATAATTCAATAATATGCCAGTTCTGGCTTTAAAAGTTGCTGAATGCCAGTCTCTCAGCTGTGCCAGGACATCTGTTTGTGGGCTAGGCTGCAGAAGAACTCACTGACATTAGCTGGGTTAGGAAAAGTTTATTTGGGAGGGGTGCTTTTAATCTACGCCATTTCACACTTGACTGTGATCTCACATACAGCTGTACCAGCACAGCTGAGCGCCTGGTACTCAGCCCAGAAAAGTAGGGTGGGAAAAACCAGGACTTCTTACGACAGTAACTCATCCAACTAAACTCACTGACAGGTCTTTTGCAGGAATGAAGCTTGGCATTGGGTCATTCCATTTCCCTTCCCTTTCACTGCTCCTCTGCACATGTTGTTCTAGACCTTTGCTTCTGTTGACCATGACCTTTCTCCTGCACTGAATACAAGGAAATACTTGGATATTCCTGATGTAGGTGCTTAAATGGGCCATCCCACTCCACACCAGTGGGAATTTGTTCCAGTGAGTGGCAGGGGTTAAAGAAAAAGATAGCACTTGCACGTGGATTTTAAACAGCTTGGCAGGCTGTCAGTCAAAGAGCACAAGGCTGATATATGTAACAGAATAGAAGCATCTGCACAGAAAATAATCTACAATGGAATGTTAAAACAAATGTAAAACTAGCACCCTAAGAACAGGCAAAGCTCCTGAATATTTTGTGCTGGATTTTTATGACCTTGAAACAATGATCTAGAGTAGTTTGTTCCCTAGTGTGCACCACAGCAGACATGTTCAAACTACAGGATTAACACCTCACACACCTATCAACAGACACAGGCATTAAGCAGGACGAGATAACAGCATGGGCAATCAAGAAGCATTGCATTCCAGTTCAACACAGGAGGGTTATAAACACACAGGCCTCTGAATCCAGCAGTGAAAAACTTAAGCCTGCCAAGCTGAGGATGGATTGAAGTAATGAGTAATATTTCCTGGGAAAATATCTGAGGAATAAGGAAGATAAGGGGAATAAACATCCCAGCACCTCCAGACAGAAATAGCGTACTGAAGATATAACCCATCCAGTCTTCTCTCCCTATCTACTGGACTTAGCAGTATTAACATGCTAATTGACATTAGATAATAACAGTGAACATTAATGACAATTTCTCCTCTATCCTCAATTTATTTAACAAGACTCATTTTTCATCCCCAGCCATCTTGGAGGTACAGTTTAAGCAGCAGGAACTATACTTGGTCAGACATCTTCTGGGAATCACAGCCAGGAACGGGATATTGTCATCAGAGAAGGGTGGATGGCTGGGAAAGGAGCTGGAGAGTCAACTCAAACTGATTCAAGATGAGACATTTCTTTTCTATAGGCATCTTTTGGAGACCAGGCCAGGAAAAAAGGCCATCTTTTTTGCAATATCATGTAGATTTGGTCTCAGGTCTGATGGAGTCAGATTAGAATAGCCAGACTTCATCAGGCTGCCGCACACTCACCTTCCTTTCTCCCTTCATACACACATCAGTATACATAAAATATTTCCACTCCTTCCACTTACTGGGCACTCAGTAATATTTTGGGTCCAAAGGCTCATGTTGGAGCTGTCCTCAATGGTGGTGCATCGCTTCTGCTTGCTATCCCAGCCACAATAAGGGTCTCTGGCTCCCAGGCATTCCCTGCATGTACAAAGACAAAAGATTAAAGCCCTTTAAGACTGTCTAGCTCTAAAGACATATATTCAAGTATAGTCCTCGTATATGACAGCTGTCAACCACACCAAGGCTCAGCAGAAGAAACAATTTCTTTAAGCAGAGGTTTACCTGCTTGGAAGGGGGGAAAACGAATAGAAGGGCGATAGGCCACAAAGCAAATATCACTCATAGAAGCTGTAGATTAAAAATCAGTTCACTCCTCTGCAAGGCCTAGGGAAAGAAAATGACTTTACAAATTTTAGTCAAAGAACACTTGTCATTGAGATATCTTTGTGCCCCCATGTAATCACACAGCAGGCCAAATCTCACACAAGGCAACCTCTGTGACTATGTTTTCTGACACTGTGTCCATCCAAAGGGGTTAGACAAGCAGAATTAGCCAATGGACCGGTAATAAAGGCTTTCTATTAGTCTTAGCCTTTGCTGGAACAATGGTTTCATTTATAATCCCAGCATCAAGATGTGAGTTTGGAAAAGTCACAGCAGAACATTATTTCTAAGCTTTTGGCTGCTTTGAACACTGCTGTATTCATTTTCCTCCTGAATCCATATTTACAGGCTAAGTGTGTGTTCTCAACATGTGAGCTGCTAGAGAAAAATATCTGGGGCTATTACTGCCACTAAACAGAGAAGATCAGTCACAGAAGTAGTCTGTACCAATAAAATTCAGCTATACTGGTCGTTCCCATGAGTTGCTTTCAAATTGTTAATTTTCATTAAGAAAACATAAAGGTACAAGCCACATCATGCATGTACCAGTGAAAGACAAAGAGAGGACTAAACCTAAAAAGATTCACAACACTATTTTTAATCCCTATGATCCATTCTCTTCTATCACATAAAAGGCTGATAAGATCTTTCAAAAAATCCCAAATGACTTGAAAACTGTCAATTAGACAGCAACAAGGGACAGAGGGGAAAGATTCAGTTCAGGAAGCTAAACAGGAGAGTAACAAAATGTATTCTAAGGCAAGGTATCAGTATGATTAACAAAACATAAAAAAAACCCGAAACCCACAAACTTCAAATGCAATGAGATGTGAACTGTTCCCTCCCAGAAATCTTTGAAATCCTATTAGCCTGTAATCAGCCGCAAATAAAATAGTCACTCACACACAGCTGAGAACACTCTATTAGTCTGTACTGACTCCACAGTGATTCGTCCCAAAGCAAACCCCAGATTGTTTTGATGTCTGGCACCCATTGCTTTATATATGTAAATCTATACACAGACACATTTATATTTTAATTATGAGTTTCCAGTCTTCTCTGCTCCTACATTTCCTCTGCTAAAGATTTCACACTCGGAGTTGTAATGAACCTAACTTCTTTTTCATGCTTTAGGAAGGTAGTTACAGTGACTGTCTTTACTGTATTTTTCCTTCAGTTGCTTCAGCACACCCAAGGAAAAGGCAAAGATCATTTTACCACAGCCCCAGGCAACAGAACATCAAATATTTACCTAGAAAATGACTTGGGATCCTCAGTCCAAGGACACAGAAGGGACATGTGCTGCTTTGCTCGTTACTTTGGCTAAGGACCCCCGCCCCACTGTTTTGGCAACCTGCACCACCCTCACCCACGAAGTGGGGCTGCTGCCACATCCAGAGCTGCCTTTGCTGTCCAGCAGCCCCCCAGCAAGGGCAGCACCCAGTTCCATACAGACCAGACCCTGGGGCATCTGCCCACACTCTTGACAACTTGGCACCTCGGGAGGAAACTGCAGTTTCTAAAAAGGAAAAAAAGAAAAGCATTGTGGGGAGGGGAGAAGGCCCTGCTTTTCATCAGAGAGCCTTTTGGTCAGGCTTTCAGACCCTGACACCACATACACTATTGTTTTCAATTGCATGAAGCCATTTTGCTGGGCACCCAGTGAGTTGAGAGAGGTCATTGTAATTCATAACAAGGAAGGCTGTTGCGAGCATCACCCTATTATGATACACATTTTCTCTGAATTTAATTTATAGGAAAACATGTGCTGCAAAAATTCAGGAAATAATCTCCATATGTTCTGTGCTTCAGCCCTCAGCCACTCTGCAGGCTGCAGCATACCCCAGTTAGGCACTGACCACTTTGCTGTTGCTAGCATAATGTATGTCATGGAGCTAATGTGCTGCTCTTGGCTGGGAGCAGCCGGCTCTGAATCCCTAACAGAGCACTCACTGAACCACAGCCTGCGCTCCCCTGCCACTGCCATGGCCTGCAGCTGATGGGCCAGCAGGAACCCAGCTGCACAGCCACCAGCAGAACATGGTGATGGGCTCTGGGAAATGCTGGGCACAGCAGAACATGGTGATGGGCTCTGGGAAATGCTGGGCACAGAAGGCTCTGGTGATGGGCTCTGGGAAATGCTGGGCACAGCAGCCCTGGTGATGGGCTCTGGGAAATGCTGGGCACAGAAGGCTCTGGTGATGGGCTCTGGGAAATGCTGGGCACAGCAGCCCTGGTGATGGGCTCTGGGAAATGCTGGGCACAGAAGGCTCTGGTGATGGGCTCTGGGAAATGCTGGGCGCAGCAGAACATGGTGATGGGCTCTGGGAAATGCCAGGCATGGCACCTGTTGGCTGGCAGCTGCAGCCAGCCCCATGTGCTGCATCCAGGGTGTAAAGGAGTTCCTACCCAGCCCGGGCTCTGCTGGGCTGTCAAAACACACACTCTGTAATTTAACAGCCATCACAGCCCGGGACTTCTCCTCATCTCATGGCAGGCCCTCAAAACCATTTGAAATCTAAAAACAAAATAGCTATGCTGTCTGCCTCCCTTCAGGACTCAGAGCAAACTCATCTGCCTCAACTCTACTGAGAAACCTATTATATTGGCTGACAGCAATACACCTAGGGATAAGGAGAAATGCATTTACTTGCACAAAATTTAGCCCATTTTTTCACTTTCTAAGCAAAAAAAGCATTACAATGTACGTGAAGCAAGAAAATGACATTTCTGGAAAATACTTCCAGCAAACAGTTCAAAAGCCACCCTAATTTATATCCTCACAGTATCTTTAGTATATATATCCCTATTTGTGTCATTAAGAAATAAAACCACATCAGCAAACACATACCAAAAGACAAATATATGCAAGCACACATGCATATCCAAATCAAAATGCTTCAGAAGTACACTATGATTCTTAGTAGTTCAGGCACCATGGTGTGGAAAATGCAAAGATATCACAGCATTTTCCTGTCCTCATAACACAATATAAATTGAAATGTTTACATGTAAATACCATTTTGTATTGTGATACTGCTGAAAAAATCTCAGAGGCCACAGGGTAGTATCTCAGAGTCTTGCAGGGTAGTATCTAAATACTGTGAAATAAGATACACAGGAGTTTACATACAACGATGAAATTCTGATGTTTCAAAGGCAATGGGACTTCTGCCACTGGCTCAGTTGTCCATATTTTATATTGTACATAAAGGGAACATTTCACTTAATATTTCACTTTCTCCTCAGCAGCAGGCTGGGAATACCTCAAGGAATTAATGAGACACTATCCTGTTGTCTTCCACTACAATTCCCAGGGTAGAGGGAACCCATTATCCCAGAAGACTACCTGAGCATAGCAGGTTAACACTGACTCTCTTACTGCTAATGACTTAGTTAATGAAATACTACAAAGGGGGATGCCTGTGAAAGGAAGATGATGATACCACATGGCCCATGCCCTCAGTTTCCCTCTGGCCATCTAGTAACCTCACAATCAGTGAGGACTTGGAACCTCCTGACAGATATCTAAGAGGCCGGATTTATTTTGATCAGGCATTACTATCAAGAGCGATTAATTTTAATTCATTGCCTCACAATAAATGTCTTGTGTGAGGCATAAAGGCAAACACTGAAAGGTTCAATTGAAAAACAATTCCATTTGTGTCTCCTGTTCAAGGTGTTTTTTTCTCCAGTTCCTCATTCTCACTTACTAAGGTCATTTGCATGAAAATAAGATCTTGCTCGTAAGAGCTCACCTGCTGCCTGCTGTTTTGGAGCTGTAAGCCTCCCTTGTTGGCTGTTGCAATCATTTCTACAGCAGTGATCTGGGAAAACACAAAGGATTAAGACTCTGCAAGAGGGACACTATCCAAAGCCCACTGAAGTCAATGGAAACCCTTACCTATGACTCAAAAGAGTTTTTATATGGTCTTTGACACCTGGTGTGCTGAGCCTTCACTAATGGTATGTGCTGTAAAAAGGTTTCTGCTTCCAGTATGCCGATGCTGCCCAAGATCCCTTTCTTGTAATGTCCCGAATGACATCTTCTTTCAGAATCTTCATTAAAGCTTAAACACCTGTATTTCAAAAGTTTTTCATTCCCACTTTAATTTGCTCTGGGTCTAGACAACCTCATCTTTTGGTCATTTTCCCCTGAGAGTTAAAACTTTAGACTGTATAATAAATGAATCATCAAATCAATGGAACCAGACCCAAGAGGTTAGGCTTTGACAGACCAAAGGAAAGAAAGAATTACTATAGCTTCTTCCCATTCTTACTACCAGACAGAAGACACATAAAAACGCCATTTTGTACCAAGAGCCACAAAACTCATTCAAAATATTCACAATGAATAACTCTGCTCCTTTCATCTGCCAGGCTGTGCTTACTCTCCCAGTTTTCATTTCCTCTCTTTCATTTACCTTTTTATCACACCTTTTTTTATGACTAATAGCAAATAGGAATGGAATGGCAGGACATGATGATGTGCAGAGACAGAGTTCTACACCCAAAGCCTGAGAAGTTCCTTCCCAAACAGTGTTTGCTCACAAAACCCTCCCACTGCACCAGGAGACAGTTCTGTGTTTTTGCTCATGACTTTGGAACCTGCAGTGAAGGTCCTGTTTGTCAGGGAGACACAAGAACTGTCTCTGTACCTGGTCCTTAGACCCCATGGGCATCACCAGTGACTCCATCAGAGGCATATCCATTGGTGCAATGCAAACATTTATAACCCTGATCCTGCAAGGCAC